ACAAAAAAGTCATAGTCATAAACCATTTGGCTATTTTTATATGGGTAATGGCCATTTCCGAAGTCATATAATTTCTACCAAGCATTTATTTGAAGCAAGCAATATTTTCAAGAAATTATGCTGTGGTAATCAAGACAGGTTGATAGACATATTTGACAACTATTCTAGGAACATGAAAATTAAAAACTCATCATAAAGTAAACATTATTTCTTTAGTAAGTAGACTATTGACCGAGTATTGTTAACAAACCGGCCCTGTATTTATCAAATGAAGGCGATTGTCCCTGATTATTCCCACAGCACAGGTGTCAAAGAGTCCCGGGCCAATTTAAATCGCATTACGGTGATAACTCAATTCATGTTGAAATATACAATATTCATACAGTGCTCGGAAATCGCGAAAAGCATCAAGATGTAGACCTTACATTATATAGACTTAATTATATTCATTTGTTTCATACATTAAAGTATTTAAGGGAACTTAATATACTTTTGTAAACGTGATGTAATCTAACACGAAAAATTAAAAATTTATAGAAAGATCTAGAAAGATAATTTAATACTCAATTTAAAGCTTAAACTTTAGGTCAACTAACTAAAACAATGAACATCAAAACACCCAGTGCATACGCTATAATGTCGAATCTCTCTTTTATATTTTTCAGTTTTTCAATTCAATATTTTTCTAAAAGTAATGAAAGCAACATAACATTTACGATAATCAGCATAAAATATTCAAAACCACTCAAAATTCAACAAAAAACTTGTATAGGAATGTTTTTTTGGCGATAAGCATAGTTTCTTCCCATATTAAAAACTAAATAATAAGAATCCTAATCAATAAATAATTAGTATCTAAATTATTCAGACTTATGTACGTCAATGCTAACCTTACTGATAATCACTGGCAGAATTATGCATTTTTTTGACTATTTAAAAAAAAACATTAAATATATTCAAAAAACGTCAAACAATGTTGACGTTTGTTACTTTTTCCTTTTTTAGATGAGTATCATTAATAAACATTATAGTTTAATATTTATTTAATTTTTTTTATTTTATTGTATAGGTGCGGCGGATTTTATTTTTGGAAAAGACACCATTTTTATGTTATTTACATAATATTATGCAATATATGTAATATATCTAATATAGAATTTATATTTTGATAATAATCTTTATTCACCGCGTTAAAACCAATTTGAAAATTGGTTGATGAAGAAGCTTTTTGCGCCCTCAATTAAATCGTTTTGTTACGTTGTATTCTGTGATTGTATAAGTAATATTAACAAAGACAATCTTATATTTATATCTTCATATTCCAACCAGTCTAAATTGTTCTTTAGTCCAAGAATGGATCTCTGTACTTATGGAAATGAAGCATTAAGCTGATTTAAATGTTATCAGCAACTGCCTTACAGCAATTTGTCCAATAAAGGCATTAGCAACAAATAATGCTTTTACATTTTAATACGTAAATAGTGCGGTGCCGATATGCGTCGTTTACAATTTTGTTTTTGTATTAATGTTTATTCTCTGTATTGCATTAAGTGCTTTAGCCTGTGGCTATGTATGTGACATTTGGATATAATGGCGCGATATTTTTATTTTTGATTAACAGTTAATATGGTATTACTATTTTTCTTACCAATTACGTAGGATATGAATTTTCAATAGATCGATTTCTATTTTCAAATAATAAGGCCAGAAAATTCATAAAAAGCAATCAAGATGAGATTTTAACTTAACTTAAACTAAAAAATAAGATAAGTTATAATTTAAATTTTTAAGGTAAAGTAAATTTAATCTTATTATACTTTTTAAAAGAAACGAAAAATAAAATGTTTATATTTACTAAATAAAATATCTATGTACATTTTATAATTAGTTTGCAAGAACCCCTAAGCAGGCGAAGGCCTCCTCCAAGGATCTCCAGGTATATAGGTCCAGGGCAAATAAACCGCTTGAAAGCGGAAGTGAATACGAAAACTAGGGAGTTCATGGGGAGTAGGTAAGTAATGCGGCGGCGCCCGGCGGTAATAAACACTGCGGCGATAAGTCGTATCGTGGTACTCCCTGCTAGATAACGGACGAGGCTCTGGCACCCGACCAGTGGCGTTATAACCACACCGTTGCCTTGGGAGGAAATAATCCCTTACATGTCTGGGGCAAAAGGCAACGGGAAACCACTGCTCAATATTTTCCCTAGTAGTCAGTAATCATGAAATAGTCTAATAAAACCATGGCTCCGAGTTCCTTTGATGGGGCTGGGGTTTGAGAATCCCCAGGTATTATAGAATAAGCATAGGAACATGGAATGTGAGAAGTCTAAAGCAAGACGGTAAACTACCAAATTTAATAAAAGAAATAAACCGATTACGGATTGACCTAATGGGGATCAGTGACACAAAATGGCCTGGTAAGAACGAATATACAACTTCTGACGATATGGTTCTCTATTATTAAGGGAACGAAGAACTTACGGCGTTGGCGTTGAAATTCTTGTTACAAAGGAAGTTTCGAAGACGGTTCCAGATTTAATACCACTATCTAATCGAGCTATGACGATAAAGATAAGCGCCCGGCCATTCAATATTAATATAATTCAAATTTATGCAACAACTTAGCAAAAACCTGAGAGCGAGATGGAAGATCTACATGCAGACATAGAAACGCACAAACAAACATGATATAAACATGGGACATGGGAGTTATGAATGCCAAAGTAGGTTCAAAGTAAGTTCCTGAGGTAACTGGTGCCTATAGCTTAGGGAACCGAAATGGCAGGAGGGACATATCTCAACATATTGTGCGAAATCAAATTGATAATGTAATCTTAAATAAAAAAATAGAAATTGTATCGAGAGCGCAAAAGCCTATCCGGGGGCAGATATTGGGTCTGACCATAATCCGGTGGTTATCCGCCTTCGAAAGAGACGGTTTGACTATTAATACAGTACAAAAGAAGGTTATTTCTCGGAACGACGCTTTAAAGTTTAAGGCCTAATTTATCTGTAGCTGGAAAGACCTTACAAACGAGTGGATCCCAGATCAGGAAATTAGGTCTCGAATTGAAATTGCCCGAAGATCTTTCAACAAAAAAGAAGAAAGTTTTGTGCTGTCGTCACTTGACTATTTAGCTCCGAGTCCGAGTTCTCCTTTGTTACATTTGGGCAATTGTTATGTACGGCTGTTAATCTTGGACAATTAGAGAAGATACCCGCCGTCGCGTAGAAGCAGTGATGTAGTATCGTCGCATGCATCGTATAAGCTGGATCAAGAAGGTCTCGAGAAGGTTCTTAATCGAGTTGGAATGTCGAAGGGACTTGTGCGGAACATTAAACAACAGAATATTGCGTACCTTGGCCACGTGTAGCGCCATGACCGCTACCACCTCCTTCAATAAATTATTATGGGTAAAATCCAGGGTTAACGGAGTGTCATATCATGGCATCGAAACGTTAGGGAGTGGACGAGTATTGCGACTGCGGAATTGCTGCATCTAGCACTGGACATGACGCTCTTCAAGAGACTGACGGCCAACCTCCAGTAATGGAGAGGCACTAAAAGAAGAAGAGGGTATGTAAAATTATGAATGTTTTGTTTTATCCACGCCGAAATAAATACTACTATGCTGACGTAATCTCGAGTCACAATAAAGAGCCAAATTATTCATTCATTTACAGAAAAGCCTTACCTTAAATCCTTAAACGATATCAAAAATATGTATGTAACATATATAATGATTTTCATAAGATATAAATTTTAAAATATGTAGTTAATAAACTGAAGGTTAAAAATAAAAACGTTTAAAAATACATTCAATTTGCATTTAATATTTACTTTAGTAAGTGCTATATCTAGTTTTTATAATGAATACTGAACATACATGGACTGGGTTTGTAATAGAAAATAGATTATGATACTTTATATTATCCAGATTATTATCTACTATAATGCAACTTGTAGAATTATTAAAAGTTTGTATAATTATTACTATTTTTATATTTAACCAGACTGTTATAAAAATATTTATATAAAAAAAATTTAGCTAATCTAACATCATTATGAAAGTTAAATTACATTCACAGAAAACTATTATAATTACTTATGACCTTCTTGTATACTTACTATAGGTAAGACTCTGTGATAATAAGTATGTATTATTAATTTAAACAAATTTTCCTCAGAGGGAAAAGAATATATTTTTATATAATACGTTTTAAATAGGTACTTTACAATCTTCAAATCACGTTGGCAGATGTGAAAGGAAATTGGTAGTTAATTGTAGGAGACTATCCGCGAAATACAAGTTGTTGCGGATATTATTCCGTTATCCACGCCTTTAGTGCTCCTACCGTTCTTTGTAATATGTACACAACGCTGTCATTGTCACTTATACGTGAATACACCTATTTTTAATATCCATATTGGAAACGCCTACTGCGCAGTCAAACGGTATGGGGTATGTGGAACTCGACATACTTCACAAAATACGGGCGAGAAATACCCACTCACCGTCACTAGCTTGCTCTTAATACGAGTAGATTTTGAAGCCTTTGGATATACATATATTATTATATTATCCATATTTTATTACGCAATATTTTAAAACCTTATAGTATAGTATAGTAGTGTGGACTTAGTTTCCGCACTTAGACGCACATTTGGTCCGATGTGCGTGAAGTCCTGGCTAATTAAGCCAGCCTAGCTGAAGCCTTCCAGAAGCTCAGAAGGTACCTGGGCACATCACAGGCTTTACGGAGCGACCTCACTGCTCGGAAGTTTCTGTTCGTTGGGAATCCACAGCCTATGGGATAGCGTAGGGATTCTAGGACTACGTTGACTGATTCCTCTGCGCTGAAGCAGCTTCTGCACAACGGACTATCTGGGACAACGATGTGTTTATTTAGGAGTGGCCCCTAATTGTCATATCATTATTTTAAGATTAATTCTATTGAGGCTTAGAAGACGCTTTGCCACTAACGTGTTTACTGCTGTCAGTGCCATTTTTTACTGCTTGCAGTCCGCGTTTTGCGGAATTCTATGGATCTTTGGTGAATCCAGGTGCGCACCTGCGATACGGGCAAGGGAAGAAGTAGGTACGCGCCAGCCGGAAACATTCCGGATCCCCTCTTTGTAAGCTCGTCGGCAGCGTCATTGCCGAGAGATTTACTGTGTCCTTTAACAGGGTAACAAGGTAATAGGGTAACCCTGTTTTTCAGGTTATTGCCTTCAGTGCATGGTGACACTCTAGTATACATTTTTAAGACCTTACTAAAAGTGGCAACGAGTGTCTTGAAGATTAGATAGTAGATTCATGTCATGAAGAAAAAAAATTGTTTCCCAAATTTTCCTATATATGCACAAATTTGGTGCAAGATATAAGACAGCGTAAGATCCTTATTTTCATTCTATCATATTTCTTATCGTGAGGAAACTGGCATGCCTTAGACCCAAAAAGTCGACGGCGTGTATCAGAAACAGAAGGCTGATCACCTACTTGCCTTTTACAAAATGATCTCGAAACAAATTCAGAAATGTGAAGCCCGGACCTAAAACTTGACTGGTTTCTAAAATTGATATCTGTCAAAATGCTGCTGATTACTTTCGTAAATGGAACCATACTGAATTTTAACTAAAAATTTGAATGAACTACAGCTGCGTAGTTTTTATCAATCTCTGCAGATTATGTTTATTGGCACGTTTATGTTCTTCGGATTAACACACGTCGTAAAGGCCCTGTACATTGTTCTACATAAATCAATTAATAAAACGCGAGAATCGCAATAAAAACAACATAAAAACACTAAACGATACGCTACAGGCTTGTTTAAAGCTTATAAAGACATTTTATTAAAACGCTTACAATTTCCTACAAGCAGTGTTTTTATTGCTTGAAAAACGAACATTTATGCGTTAAATTGAATTTTATTATTTTTATAGGTATAACAAAATACATCCAGGTGCGATTGTACATTTTTAAGTATAGAATGACAAAACATCGGTGTTTTTTACTTTTTTATTTTTTATTAACCGAATTTTGTATATTTCAATGTGTATGGAGTAATTTATCTAGACAATGAAAGTAAAATCGCAGACATGACCTCGTCATTTATGGATTGACTCCATAGAGAATTGACTTCAACGACATTTTATCATAAATATTTGTAAGTGGCGCGTAAAATCCGACGTAACTTAGGTACATTATTTTAAAAAATACATTAAATGTAAGAGGCCCTTCACTTATTAACCGTTTTACTTACTATAACTTTTAACTTAATATATAGTAGACATTTTAATAAAAAATATATTTAAACATCTTATAGAATTACAATAAGTAACAGTCGTTAGACCACACTTACACAACATCGCAATGTGTCAATTGTCAAATATATTATGGTGCACAGCGTCTAATGTCATCTTTGTATTATTCCGCTTAAAAGTCTAATAAATACCATAGATGATGATCATAAATAAAATGTCAGATGTACTGTTAGTTAAATGGTAGTAAAGAATATGATCAATTTATTCTGTTAACGATGAAATAACCGTGTATTTTACGATTCATTTGTTTCAATGGAATGTTGACGTGATTGCGGATAAGAACGAATTAAACTTAACCGTTTTATAAAATTGAAAGTGTTCTGTGTTGTATAATGTGATTTTGTTACACGTCAGGTGGTTAAAAATATACATTGACTGTAATCAATCTTAAAACGTAAGAGACATATTAAATAATAGTTGCAAAAGAGGTAGAAATGTTCAGTATTTATCAAATACAAAATGCGACCAAAAGAAACTTAACATCCGGGTTGGATGGTCCTTACTTTTAAATAACAAAACACAATTAACACCAAATAAAACGTACTCAAGGAGATATGCAAGAAAACTTAAAGACAAAAATAAAGTGTGTGTACTGTTTAATTGATATTTGCAAGTATGACCTTGCTCTGCCATTCATTAATCATTAAAGCTTTTAAAATCAGCATTCATGGATCCATAAAGGACGAAAACAAAAAAACTTTCACTTTGGTCAGATAAACAGGAAGTTAATGAAAGGCTAACTTGCGTAAAGTTTAATCAGAGGAAAGAAAGTTAATCAACGCATGTTTACTTAAAAACCTCACCTTTATATCGGAAATAATTACGTAACATATTTAAATATATTAAACACGTCAATTAATCCATTTCCTTATAACGTTAACAAGAAAATAAGAATTTTATCCTGTCGTTTGTCAATTGTAGTATTTAAACTTTAAATATAACAGTACCTACATTCATTTATTAATAAATATTATAAAGCTTCTTTTTGATAATTTTCTTTCTGCTTCGTAATTAGCTCTGCTTATATATATTAATTATTGTGACTCAGTTAACATTTTGATTGGCTTTTAAATTTTTGTTTTTACATATTTTTATTTATTATTATTGTTATTTTTTCTTTAGATTTTACTTTATTTTAGTTATAGTAACGTGTTATTTTGAGTTTTTTTTGTTAATTATTTTTGCTCTGTAGGTGTTTCTTTTTCATTGTTTCACATTAGGGTTGCCTGGAAGAAATCGCTTGTTAGCGATAAGGCCGCCCGTTGCCTTATAACTTTTATAACCTGCTTTTTATTTTTGTGATGTGGATGTTTTTGAATAAGGTAATAAAGTATAAAGAAATAAATTATATTATACAATGTTAATTAGCTTGCAGAAGAATGTGCGTAAGCTGTTCTTTTTTTCAAACGCTCATATTAAAATGGGATAATGGATGGGGTTTAATTACAGTTGTTTAGGCCGTTCTAAAACCTAGAACGGCACGTAGAACACATTTGTTCAACTAGCGTGGGTGTAAAGTATTCTACTGATAAAGAGACGACATCCGCCAAGTTCTCCCAACTGTGGGAAAAGCGGACAGGTGTCACTTATCGCCTTAAGGTACCAAACACTTAATCCCAAAACATAAAATGAACGCTATGCTATGGAAATAGGGGTCAATTTAAAACTACAGTTACGACACAAATAAGCGCAACAAAATACATATCATAAAATAATTGTCCGTTTTAGAATGATCAATTTGAATAAGCTGGATGAATTTATGGACCAATTAAACAGGATTTTATCTCTTTAACCAACTTCAAAGAAGATAATTCGGCAGGTAGGTAGGTATAATATAAAACGATACATGAACGAATAGGTAACGATGATAGATAGGCTTTTATTTTTCATGTTTTAGAGTATTAACCATTACTCGTGATCGCAACTTTTACTTTTGGAAGGCTCCTTTTTAATAATAACAATGTAATTTTTCAATCATGCAGCACTTTTTCGTTCTTTTTATTACCATTCCGTGTTTTTTTATCATTCTTTATAGGCAAGGGTCGGGCTTTTCGTACCTTACACGAAACGTAGATTTTTAAGTCTGACATCTAACTTAAATCCCACACATAGAACCACTACACTAACTTAAGGATTGAGAGATCGTTCTCTTGACTTTTAAGCTAAAACTCCTTAACTTCGCCGAGTAAATAAAATAGTATTGGTTAATTCATACTATTACCTTAGTAAAAAGCACGCAAGTTTTTTGCATGTAAATGAAGCCTTAAAAATCTTAATATCATATCAAACCACTTCCACGTTCGCACGTGTAATTATCCTAAATTATTAAAAAATTCACGTATCAAGTTACGTAAAGCCTTATAACTGAGAAGGCATTATCAGATTTAAAAGTGTGTAATACTTTATTAATTTTTAACTTAAAAACCGCATGAGAAGGTTATTAAGTCTTCATAGTTTAACAATTATTGTCGCCATAATATACTATAGGATATTATGTTTTATGTATAGTCAGTCAGTAGAACAGAGTTAGAGAGTCGGGTAGGTATAATTTAGGATCCTCGTAATTTGATTTAAGTAAAGCATTTAAGTATATTGGCAAGCAGTAGCGGCCTTCTTCGGAGGCCAAGGTTTTGGGACGCAGCGCCAACGGAACTTTCTATAGGTAGGTCAGAAACTTAACAGAAAAAAGCTAGTCATATTTCTTCATAGATTAAATTGTAACTACAGTCAAAATCTGTTATAACGACACCGAAGGGACTACTCATATTTGGTCGTAAAAACCTATAGTCGTAACAGCCGCGACCTTTGATTTTGGTCAATATTACCGGTTGTTCTAAACGATGTCGTCGGTCGTCGTAAACGGTTTTGATTCTACTTTGATTGGGCAGTTTAACTTATGCCTGCCAACTGAAAAGTGGTCCATTCAGAACGGTATTATAGTAACTAAAGCTGCAAGAATCCCTCGACTGTGTCCTAAACGTATGCGTTTTCGACCATTTAGTTTAAGGGTGAAATTCAGAAACGAGGCTTCACTATGACTACCGTATGTCAAACTCCAATCCGATTTTGACATATGGAAGACACAGTTAGCCTCTTTCCGAATATCACTTCGTCTCGACGCTGAATCTTATCTTCATGGAAGAAGAATGCTCAGGTTAATAATTTTTCAAGATATGTTTGTACGCTTTCACTGATTTCTTCCAAAAGCTTTAGCTTTATCTATGGCATTTACCAGAATAAATTAAGAAAGTTCAATGACCTAGAGGCATGCGTCAATAGTAAAGAATAAATAAATTTTGTTTTAGAAACTAGACATAATAGAACTCGTGGTCTTTTCCTGCTGTCTGTCTTCATTGTATTCAATTTGCACGACCCTTTCTTCTCACGTCTGCGCAGACGCCGATCGACGCCGAGTTCAAATCGAGACAATGTATTAGGGGATATAAGTTATTTGTTACACTGTAATATTTGCACCAAATATAGCAATATTTAATGATTTTAAATACGTTTAAAATTATTAGGGTATTAATGCAGTTGAAGCAAGCAACCTTTGAACGACTGCTTAGTGCTAGCTAAATTATATACTTAGAATAAATATAACTTGCTCTTGGCACTTTAAAATGTGCTCTTAACACTGTGACAAATCGTAGTTAACACGTGTGGCAGATCGTGGGAGCGCGCTCCCTCAGGACTCCGAGCTGCGCGTACGCAAGTAGGATAAAGTTTCTTGAGCACATGCCAGATTACTAAAGATTTGTATGGATAAGATCTGTAAAATTCGAAGATCTTATTAAGATAATTTCGTATTCTTTACTGAATGTTGGTATAATATGTCTTAGTGTACAGTGAAAACATAAAGTAAAAATATTTTCAGACACTAAATTTATTTCCCTCAGTGAGTATAATAATAAAACAAATGAATAACGACTTTAAGTTC